AGACGTAGTGGGCACCGGATGGTCGATCGGGTGCCAGCGGGGTCTGTAGAAAGACAGCAGGTGAAGTTGAATTGGCCTCATCCTCAGCCTGCAAAAATCCACTAAGTCCACCAGACTGGCCATAAGGCCCAACAGCCTGAGCCAGGCTCGGGCCGGAGCCACTACCGTCGGGAGGAAGAGGGACACGCACTGCCGAAGGTTCAGCAGGCGATCCTCCGATGGACGGGCCAGTCCCCTGCGAAGATTGAGGAATGCACCTAGAAAGGTGGGAACCTGAGAGGGGACTGGATGGGATTTCTTGGTGTTGATGAGAAATCCCAGGTCGGAAGCAAGGTGCCACGTTAGTTGGAGCGCCGCTTCCGTCTCCCCTCGAGAACGACCCACTACTAGCCAATCGTCGAGGTACATGAATATCATGATCCCTCGTCGCCGCAGTGCCGCCCCGATCGTCTTCACGATCCGGGTGACCACCCGCGGAGAAGTGGATAGCCCGAACGGGAGCACCACAAATTCGTACACTATATATATCCTTGTATTGGAAACGTAGGAATTTGCGGTGTTCCGGCCTGATCGGTACGTGAAAGTACGCGTCTTTCAAGTCTATACTGGCCGCCCACGCTGGCGTTATGATCGATGCAAGAATGGTCCGTAACGTTTCCATGTGAAAACGTTTCGGACGTATGAACTTGTTGAGGGGTTTTAAGTTCAGTATTGGACGCCACACGCCGGTCTCCTTCTTGGGGGCCAAGAAGAAGGTTGACATGAAACCTGCCCGGGTCCCCCCTTGGGGGACAACACGAACTGCTCTCTTTAGAAGGAGGGCGTCGATCTCCTCCTCGAGGGAGCGGCGTTTTGCTGTGTCGGGCGGTACGGGCGTTGTCCGAATAAGCATGTCCGACGGGGGGGTCCTCGTAAACTCGAGCGCGTAACCGCTGCTGATCGTTTCGAGGACCCACCGGTCGGAAGTCACCTGCACCCAGGACCCCACAAACTCCTGAAGGCGGCCTCCCACGGGTCCAGCGGCGGGAGGCCGCCCGGAGACGCATAAGTCACTTGTGCCACGCCCCGGTGTACCGGGGAGTGGGCGCACGGAAACCGCGTCCCGACTGGGGACGCTGTTGTCCGGTATGTGGTTGTGAATAGCGCGAGCTGACCGCCTTATCGGCGCGCCCACGAAATCCACCACAGGCCGCTCTGACCGGGGGGCGGCGCCGGGGAATGACAAAAGACGGCTGTTTCTTTGTCTTGTCCGCGGTTTTCGGCTCGGCCGGTTTCTTGAGATTTATTTTCTCCGTGGCCTTGAGGCGCTTCGCCTCGGCCTCCATGGCTTCCTGGAACTTACCAGAAAATAAGTCCGGGCCTGAGAGCGGGAGATCGTCGAGACGCTTTCGTGCTCCCGGTGAAGGGAGGAAGAGCGCATCTAGCACATTGGTGCGGCGTGACGATGTTGCTAATGTCGACACTCTAGCAAACTGGTCAAGAGTGGAGCATAGGCCACGATCGAGGCAATGGAGAGCAGCCACCATCATGTCGGCTGTATCACCGAATCTTCTTCATATCCCAGAGCAAGGTACTCGGATAGGAGAAGAAGAAAGGACGTCGCATGCATACCCATGCGTGCCGCCGAGTCCATTCTCCGGGTGACATCCTCCAGCTTTCCACAGGTCTTGTCCGTAAAAGGAACCTTGGATGAAGCTGTCCCTCGGTCAGCGGCGAGTTTGTCAATGGCCGAGTCCGGCAGGACTGGAGTTGAAAAATATTTCTCTAAATCCCCTGAGGGGAAATGATAATATGCGTCTACGCGTTTAGCGTAGGCACTCCATGTCTTTGTGTGCATTATCCCGTCGATGTGGTCAACGCACACGCGGTCCAGGGGCATTATGGGAAAAGCCCGGACTGGTTCTGCCGTCGGTCCCGATCTCTTCTTGAATGACTGACGTTCAGGAGGAGGAGGTTCGGCCCCAGCAGGAAGATTCAGAACTCTGATCATATCCCGTTGGACCAAGCGGAGTTCGGTCTCAGCCACCGATAGGCGTTGCATGGTGCGGGTCAGTTCGCTCTCGTCCGCCGAATTGTCAGAGTCCGGGGGGCGAGTTGTCACTGGGGAATGGGAACCAGGCCCCGGGGGCGAAGCAACGCTGTCACGGTGTCCCGGTATCGAGCCCCGCTCGGACTCCAGTGACACCGATGGGTGTAAACTAATACCGGGCGGGGACGCCGGTGCACGGCCCTCCGTGCACGGCATTGTCCGCTGGTCTGTAGTCACCCCACCACGGCCGTGATGACTGGCGTGTGGGGGCTGTAATTCTGGAGGGGACTCCGGCGCACGGCTAACTGTGTGCGGTACATGTCCCTTTGGCCCGGAGTCGGCCAACTGTGACCGTAATCTCCCTGTCGGCCCGACAATGAGGCCGCGAGGGAGTGAAAAGCCTCCAAAAAATCATCGCGTGAGATCGGGTCGCCACCCTTGTGGCGTTTCCCACGGTGTGATCGGCCGGATGACTCGCTAGAACTCGTCGAAGAACGGCTGGAATGGCGGCTCTTTTTTGATTTTTTCTTCTTTGAAGAACGACTCCGAGTAGTTGCCGAGGATTGCGGGGACACGGGGATGCCCGAACAACGAATAAAATCCGATGTAGAGGCATGGCCCTCCGAGCGTAGCGTTAACGCTCTGGGGGAATCCCAGGGATTCGGCTCTACGCTATCAATAGCCCGGGCGGCCGACAGCGCCCCCACGCCGGTAACATAGGCGGGTGCTGTACGGTCGATCAGCCGGCCATATAACAGCCCATCCCCAGGCATCGTGGTAATCACGGGGCTGGGTGGGCCGGGGTGCACTGAGCCATGGAGGAGTACTTCCTCCGGCTGCGTGTGCCCCGTAGACGGGCCAGGGACAGGCACGGTGCGCCCCGTAGCGGGGCCACCTTTCGCCGTACGTCCCTTTTTGGGTACTGCCCCGGCGTCAGACAATTTCCTTGTCTTGCCGGTGCGTTTCCCCTTCAGTTGGCAGACCCGTGAATTTTGACCGGAGGGGGTGGGGTTGTACGGCCCCCCGCTTGGTCAACGGGTCCGTCAGCTCCGACAGCCGGCATTGGCTGAAGGGGCCGACTAGGGGACTGCTGCTGCGGTGACGTACCATCACCGGTGCAGTCCCCCAAGAACTCGGGCTTGTCTGGTGGGATGTAGGTCCCTCCATTATCGATACACCCAGTCGTCCCCAACTTCCTAGATTTACTCATTCTTACTTCACTTCACTCAAAAAACTTCACTAGAACAACTCTACAATAAACACTTTCTCTTTATTTCTTCGAAATAGCTTTCTCCAAGCAAAAGAGGTACGAATAAAATAGTGAAATTCAGGTCGATTGAAATTCCACGTTATACCTCGCCTGCGGCTAAGAGAAAAAGAGGACGCTAACGTAGTGCGCATGTCACAGGGCGTCGTGGGTAGGACACGTGAGGGCGCTATTGTGTAAAACTCTTAGCAAATTGCCTGCCGGCATAGGGAACAATGCAAATGTAGTATTCGCTCTACAGGTAAGTAGAGTGATGTAGACTTATATTTATCTAAGTACGAAGTCGTTAAAACCAACATTTTGCCATTCCAGGGGTGTGAGTGGAGTAAAAAAAAAATAGCTGAAAATAGCTGAACCTGTAAATAACCGAACCTGCGAGCGCGTAGTGCGAACCCTTACGGCGTGGGGTTCGGGGCCCGCCCAAGGGCCCCTGAAAATTTTTGAAATGTAGATGCTCTGTGGTGCATTTTAAAGCCTCCTGGCATGCCTTGGCCAACTATTGGTCGAAAATGTTTTGCAATTTATGCATCTTTTAAGTTAACTTTTCCTTCATATTGGCTTGAGTCGCCTAATTTCTGCCCATTGGCATTAACCATGTGTTCCATCCAAATCCATTTCCACGGATTCGTAACCTGAGGATCGGTCTTGTCAATGTCCGTATCAAACTCCGAACCTCTTTGGATAATAACACATTTGTGTTGCACTGACATCTTGTGGAATTAATAATGTCAAAATACGTTCGAAACATTTGAAAACGACACACTATACGTACGTATCAGCATGCAGCAGAATACACGCAGCAGGCAGGATGCGTGCATGCAATGAAATGCACACATGAACTTTGCCCCGCATGATGCCCTCTACCGGCGCGCGGCACGGCGACAATTTACTAGTCTTATTTCAAGGCTTTATATTTGCAACAAGACGATGTTTACAGCGAGTTATTGTGGAGATCATCGCGTGTCACTACATGCATAGACACAGGAACGGCCGCAAAGAGTCCCAACGCGCTTCATGGCGCATGTGTGAATATTCATATTTATCTGCAGCCAATTAAAGCGCAATGACTGTTGGTTCCCCGGATGCTGTTTACACGTTGTGTACACACGCGGCTTCGAGCTGAAAAATGCATGCACATGGCATCGTATAGTACACACGTACATGTACGTATGTACATGTACATTGTACATTGAATACTCGCTTGCACGCCCCCCATCCCAGAGCTACGTGTATGTTGTAGAGAGCGGATCGGTGCGTTCGGCGGCGGAAAATAAAATAAACGGAAATAAAATCAATGCTTACGCGCGGGGGAAAAAGCGGGGAAAAATCTGGACCATCGGAAGAAAAAAAGCGGAAAACAAAATGTGGCACGCTGAACAAAAAAGCGGAAATCCGCTAAATAGCGGAGATTTCACACCCCTGCATTCTTTAAGCTGGCAGCTCATACGTACATGTCATATGATAGCGTCCTCATTTCAACTGTACTTTTATTTGCTTGCTATTTTTTTTCTAGAAAGTATAATATAATAAAAAAAATAATGAGAACCTGCCCACTTCTCTAAATGTCAAGCCCTCACGTCAATATATTTAGATTTAAGATTTTCACTTTTTTTCCATTTTTAAATTTTTTTCCCCTGATCGCTACATGTGAAGAATAATATACGGATAATAAATGTTTGTACCTGAAGGTGCCATGGTGTAAATATTTTCCTAAGTTGGATGAAAGAATGTTCCATTCTACAAGGTGAAGCTGAGTTGAATGGAACATTTCTCTTTGACCCATAAATAATTCTCCAATCAACTGACAAAGATTTAGATTGTGAAATAATTGATATGAGAGTAATGAGTGATATTTTAAAAACATTTTTTCAATTACAGGCATTTGGATACCATCAACACATTCAGCAGTGCTACAAAAGTATCTGTGATGTTTCCAGGATAGACGGTGCAGAAAGACTTGCAAAGAAACAGCAACATGAAAGTCAAGGTATTTTTGCCTTTTTTTCTATGGAGTCACATGAGCATACTCCCCTGAAAAATATAACATGCCTAAAGCAGGGGCTGGTTGGAGATAGAGCCTTCCTCTACACAATTTAGTTTGAGTCAAGGTTTCATAATTTTGTAGCTAAATCAAATTGGAAATACTTGCAAACATATACATGTACAAGTCCTACTTTAGAATTGACAATCTCTGGGAATTTGTTTCTCGTACAGTTTTAAAAAACATTCCATTCATTGCTAATGTTTATTTCTCAAGTCAAAACATGCAGTGCCTGTTGCACAATAAGAAAATGCAATTTGCAATTAAAAATTGCTGTCATTTAAGAAAGGGATTTTTCTCGTAATTTGACAACTTGCAGATACAACATGTTTCAGATGGGAACTGTGATGGAGTCACTGATGCCGCCAAACAAGGATGCCTTGCACCTGCACGTAAAGAGGGCTAACTACCAGGCAGCCATATACAAGAGGGCCCTGGATGCACGTCCTGAAGTGCTGTCTAGTCTCCACACAGAAGAGGATGGAAGGTCATCGGCGATGACATCAGTATCCACTGGATGGATCTTCCCCCTGCCCCAGACAGTGTCATGTAATTTGCCCATTGCTCATGTAAAAAAAAGTCAATGCACAAAAGGCCAGTGTAGCTGTCTTGAAAAAAATTGCCATGCACAGACTTGTGCAATTGCACCAACTGTGAAAACATTCCAAGTGAAGGGCAGCGCACTTCACCCGAAAGTGATGATTCAGAAATCGAGGATTAACTAATGTAAAAACTGACCATCACGTACATGTACGTCTATCTAAATAAGGAATAAGATTGTCAATTGAAAAACTTGAATCACACAGTCTGCTTCCCATCCACTTAAGTATTTCCAAATATGAATCAATAGAACTTGTAGTTTCCAGAATCTCGCCCTTATATGTTAATTAATGTTTACAACTGTTACCCTTTAACCTTTAGCCCCACCATGAATAGTTTAACCTTGCCCGCACTTCATTTGCATAGAAAGCATAGTCGCGCACAGTATTATGGGGCGATTTTACGACCTTGATTCTAGCATTTTCTCCGTGGAGCTGATACCTATCTTTTACCGTACACGTACAACTTGATATATATTGCCGAATTCCGTCCAAACTTGAAGGAATTTCAAGCCGAAAAGGAGCCTAAAGATACCACCAGAGTTTTCTCATGCTTGTGAACATTTCAGTGCGATCCAGGTCGCTGTGATAACTGTGTGATTTTAAGAGGTTTCCGATCCGAACTTCGTGAACTTTTGTGCATGTTGTGAACGACTCTGTGAGTAACGATCCCTTTGTACTCCAATATTTGGTGGAATAAAGTGAACAGAATTCATTGATTATAGAACTATAGAAGTACGCGTAAAGAATATCAGTTTTTGACTTAGTGTCCACGGTCGCTACATTCAGTAAAAGATAGCAGCATACAGATAAATGAATATTTTGTGACTATAACGATGAAATCGGGAAAGATCCCCTGCCGCTCCGCTCTGTCCGGAAATTGGGCCACGTTTATAAACGAACGCTAAACGACTCCCTGTGACTCGCGCTTGTCTGGAAACTGGGCAAGGACGATTAAATACTGTAAACGGTCACCGTTCTTCAGCGGGTAGCAGACCAACCCCTCTGCCTAAATATGGAAACCCAGAATAAAGAAAAATCACAAGATAAAGCTGATTCTTCCAGCTCAGCTTCAATGCCAGAGCTCACACCACATAATACTGGGGCCGGATCAAATCCTCCCGTCTCGGCAAACTTACAAATGGAAATGACATGTGACCCAGAACTTGCAGAAGAAATTCATCCAGAAGACAGCATCTCTGTGGCACTCTTCGGAGATAAATCTAAGACATTGACTCGCAAAAGTATTTCTGGACGATTTGACATCAGTAACGCCTCATCAGCAAAGACAACAATTTCCATGCTGCTACACAAGCATCAGCAGAGAGAAGTCGAGCTTGCGGCCAGATCTGCTGCTCTTAAGGAACAAGCTCGAAGAGCGTAAACGCGCTCTTCAGCGAGAGCTCCAACTGCAAGAAGCAGAAGAAGAAATAAGACGCCTAAGACGGCGACAGCAAATCCAAGAAGAGCAAGCCAAGATTGAAAGTGAGCAGCAAGTTATCGAAATAAATGCTGAGCTACAGGCAGCAAAAGCTATCACTAAGATGCTTAATGACGAAGAATTATCCAACGTATGTTCCCAAGGTTCCCAAAACTTTGTGGACGAAGTTGTACATGCCATTGAATCTGACGCCTCGAGACGTAATCCTGCAGTGATAAACCAGCTGAAACCCGAAGCACCGGTTTTTTCCATCAAACCTATGGCCGAACCTGCCCGACCCGTGATGGCCCCGGCACCAGACTATGGTGAGAACTCAAAGGGGGAACCCTCTGCCACACAGCAATCTTGTGAACCTGTGGATCCAATGCCATCTAAGGATGAGGGCAGTTTCCATAAAGATAAAACCCTGATGAAAGAGCCAGTGACAAAAGAAAGTGACAAGAAAGAGTGTCAAATTCCAGAGGTACCGATGGCATTGCTTCTCAGTAAATTTGTGGACAGCCAAAGGGAAGCTGCACTTCCATCTTCGGAAATAGATCCCTTTAGTGGAGCAGATGTCCTCTCCTACATGACATTCATGAAGAACTTTGGTTATGTGGTGGAGGGCAAAACCAACGACCCAGCAAGAAGGCTCGAACTCCTCCTAAAGTATACAAAGGGGGAAGCCCATGAGCTTATTAAGGAGTGTCCTATGATTGAAACCCCATCACAAGCCTATGAACGGGCAAAACAGCTACTCAAACGTGACTATGGACAACCATCAATATTGGCGGCGGCTTACAAGAATAAAGCCGAGCAATGGGGAAAGATTGCAACAGGAGACAAGACAGGCTTGCGGAAATTCTCCATCTTTCTCATCAACTGTTGCAACGGGAAGCAGAGCAACCGTGACATGGCCAGCATGGACGGCTTCGAATTCTTGAAGCTGTTGGCCGGAAAACTGCCTGTTGCCCTCCAACAGCAGTGGATCAGACAAGTAGGCAAATTCAGAGAAATTGAAGAGCGCTCGCCTACATTGGAAGATTTTGAGAGATTCGTGGGACAAATTTCCAGAAACGAAAATGACCCACGAATTGCTGGCCTTGGTTACCAACGCAGAAATGAGGAAGACAAAAAACAACTCTACAAATCAACCCGGCATGAAAGTAGAGGAGTTACTCAGAGGAAAGCCTTTGCAGCCACAGTGAAGGAAAGAAGAGACGCGCCCAAACATATTTCAAAGGAAAACAAAGCAGCCAAAGCACCATGCCTACACTGTGGGGATGGCACAAACCACTGTGTGCTGGACTGCAGAAAGTTTGCATCATTGGACGCAAAGGCGAAATCCGAATTTTGCCACAAAAGGGGCATGTGTTTCGGGTGCCTAAACCCGGGGCATATGAAAAAGACATGCCCAAACCCAGACTGGGCCAAGTGCAGCCTGTGTTCAAGGCGGCATGTCACTTGCATGCATGACCCGGATCGACAACCAGCCACACCAAAGAATGAACAGAAAGAACCAGAAACTGCAAAGGTGACCACAGGCTGTGTGAGTGTAGAAGCAAAGGCATGTGGAGCGACAAACACGGATAAGACCAACCCACTGATGGCAATCGTTCCAGTGACGATCAAAGCAAAATCCAGTACTGAGTGCATTACCACATATGCATTCATAGAAAATGGATGTGGAGCTGTCTTTTCCACCAAAGAGCTAAACCGACAATTGAAGACAAAGTCCAGAAAAACCAAGCTGATCATCAAAACAATGAACTCAGAAGAACTAATCAACACTGAAGTCATTCTGGACGAACTGCAGCTCAGCAGCATCGACGGTGACACCTTCATTGATCTCCCAGCAGTCTTCATGAAGGACAGTATGCCAGTTACAATGAAAGAAGCCCCAACCCAGCGAGACTTGAACGAGTGGAGCCACCTGAAGCAAATCAAGCTCCCAGACCAAAGAAACATTGACATTCCCAAAGTCAGCCTGATGATTGGAGTCAATGTTCCGGCTGCGTCACTACCTTTAGAGACAGCAGCTGGCCACCTTGGCGATCCTTACGCCATCAGAAGCCCCCTGGGCTGGCTAGTGTATGGACTGCCTGGAAAGTTGAGAGATCAGCCGGAGGTCAGCGTCAACATCAACATGGATTTCAACGAGCGCCTGAATGATGACAAGCAAGCTATGTCTGTCGAAGATAGACAATTCATCACTTTCATGGATGAGTCTGTCGTCAAAACCAGTGGTCACTATCAGATGAAGTTACCGTTCCGTGACTGTAAGGTCTGCATGCCAGACAACCGATCCCAGGCTGGCATGTTTGCTGCAAGACTGAACAAGAAACTCAGTAAGGATGACAGGTTGAAGACACAATACACTGATTTCATGACAGATCTAGAAAGAAAGGGCTTTGCAGAGAGGGTACCACTACCAGAAATAAAGCGAGATGATGGCAGAGTATGGTATATCCCACACCACGGCGTATATCATCCAAGAAAGCCAGACAAGCTGAGGGTGGTATTTAACTGCCCGGTAGACTACAAGGGAACATCGCTAAACAGCCAACTACTACAAGGCCCAGACATGACCAACCACATGTATGGCGTTCTTCTTCGATGGAGACAAGAAAATGTGGCTATCATGGCAGACATCGAAGCGATGTTTTACCAGGTGAGGGTGACACCAGGAGACTGTGATATGCTACGCTACTTGTGGTGGCCGGAAGGTGACCTGCAGAGGGAACCAGAGGTGTACCGAATGTTGGTGCATTTGTTTGGTGCAGTATCTTCACCGAGCTGTGCCAACTATGCCCTCAAGAAGAAAGCCACTGACAATGAACACAAATATAGAAGAGAAGTAATAGAAGCCATACATAATGACTTCTATGTAGATGACTTCGTAAAGTCTGTGGCAACTGAAGATGAAGGCATAAGCCTTGCACAAGACATGAAAAGAGCAGTAGCAGAAGGGGGCTTCAAGCTCACAAAGTGGACCAGCAACAGCAGAAAACTGCTTGCAACCATACCCAAAGAAGATCTAGCCAAAGAGGTGAGGAACCTTGATCTCCAAACTGATGAGCTACCAGTGGAACGTGCCCTGGGTGTGCAGTGGTGCATTGAAGATGATCGCCTGCAATTTAGCCAGGAAAAAGTGAATCCGAAACCGACCCGAAGAAACATCTTATCAGTGATGAGCTCCATATTCGACCCATTTGGAGCTACTTCTCCCTTTGTCTTACGGGCGAAGATGATCCTGCAGTCGTTGTGCCGAAACAAGATAGGGTGGGACGATCCCATCCCTACAAAGGAAAAACAAGAATGGGAAAACTGGCTCAAGGACTTGCCTAACCTGAGCAGGGTGCAACTGAACCGATGTTTCAAACCTGTGAACTTCGGAAAGGTGGCCAATGTACAAATGCATCACTTCACTGATGCAAGCCAGCAAGGTTACGGTACTGTAACCTACCTGCGCCTGACAAATGAAAACCGTGAAACCCACTGCGAGTTTGTGTGTGCCAAAGCCAGAGTTGCACCTCTAAAGACGCACACTATTGTCAAGATGGAACTAACTGCAGCCACCTCTGCAGTCCGTCAAGATGACCTCTTGAAGAGAGAGCTCACAGTGAACATTGATCAGACTGTATTCTGGACAGATAGCCAGACAGTTCTGAAATACATCATGAATGAGACCACCAGATTCCCAGTTTTTGTAGCGAATCGCATCGCCGTGATCAGAGATGCGTCCGATATTAGCCAGTGGAGATATGTCCCCACTAAATTGAACCCTGCTGACCATGCTTCGCGGGGCCTCAGTGCAGAAGACCTGATCAACAAACCGGAGTGGCTGGGAGGCCCAAACTTCCTCAGCCAACCAGAAGAAAGCTGGCCCGGTGCCGAACAAATTCAGATGGAAGATGACGAGGAAAATGACAACTGCGAAGTGGCTGATGGTGCTTCCCAAGTGAACATAAATGTAGTGATGACATCCAACGAGACCAGTGCCATAGACCAGCTGATCCATCACTACTCAGACTGGACGAAGCTAAAAAGGGCGATAGCATGGTGGTTACGCCTAAAGACCATGTTGCAGCACAGGAAGACCAACTGTAACAAGAAACCCCTGCAGAATAAGCCTCTAACAGTTGAAGAAATGCAGTGTGCTGAAAAGGCCATCTTGAAGTATGTTCAAGGATGTGCTTTTCCCAGAGAAGTTGAGGCACTCAAAAATGTGAAAACAAGCGACCAAAATCCAGACAACCCTTTGGCTGCTGGAAAAGAAGCTACCCCAATAGAACACCAGAGAAAGCCGATCAATAAAGGAAGTCCATTGATTAGCTTAGACCCAGAGCTGCGTGATGGACTCTTAACAGTTGGTGGCAGGCTTCGGCATGCATCAATCCCCGAAGCTGCCAAACACCAGCTGATTCTGCCAAAAGACCACCACATTTCCACTCTGGTGATCAGACACATCCACCAGAGAAGCGGACATCAAGGGAGAAATCACATCCTAGGGGAACTCAGACAAAGGTACTGGATACTCGAAGCTGGTGTAGCAGTCAGGAGCTTGATACACCAATGCGTCATATGCCGAAAGTACCAAGCTGGACCCGGTAAACAGAGGATGGCTGATTTGCCAGCTTACCGTGTACGGCCCGATGCCCCACCATTCACATATACTGGAGTGGACTATTTCGGCCCATTCGATATCAAGTATGGGCGAGTTATCAGAAAGAGATATGGTGTAGTATTCACCTGCCTTACTAGCCGTGCTATTCACATTGAGGTGGCCGATTCCCTCGACACCAGCTCATGCATCAGTGCACTCAGACGATTCATGGCTAGGCGTGGCAAAGTGAAAGAAATCCACCCAGACAATGGATCCAACTTTGTTGGAGCCGACAAAGAGCTCCAGCGAGCAATGCAGGAGTGGAACCATGGCGAAATCAACAATTTTGCCTTGAAGCATGACATCAAGTGGCAGTTCAACACACCAGCAGCCTCTCATCATGGACGTGTGTGGGAGAGGAAAATCAGAACAATACGTAAAATTCTCCACGCCATATTGAGTGAGCAGTACATGAAGACGTGCCAGAGTGAGGAACAGTTGCGCAACTTCATGTGTGAGGTCGAGGCTGTAATTAACAGCCGACCCCTGACACGAGCACCGGATGACCCTCATGACCTGAGTGTCATCACGCCGAACAGTCTGATACTTCTGAAACCTGATTCAACACTGCCACCTGGAGTTTTCTCCCAGGAGGACCAGTACTCACGAAGGAGATGGCGTCAGATGCAGTACATGGCGGATGTCTTCTGGAAGAGGTGGACTAGAGAGTACCTACCTACCCTGCAGCAACGCCAGAAATGGTCCCAACCTAGCAGAAACATAGAGAAGGGTGATGTTGTGCTCATCGTTGATAACAGCGCCCCGAGAAACTCCTGGCCAATGGGACTTGTTCAGGAGGTATTCATGGACAAACGAGGACACGTACGCAGCGTTAAAGTGATGACCAAGACTTCAGTTTTGGTCAGGCCTATTACCAAGCTGTGTCTGCTTCTAGAGCAGGACGTCGAGTAATCATCAATACTTGAACTCTTAGGGAAGGTATGCAGATGTCCGTCAAGTGGACATCTCAGGGGAAGAGACTCCCCTGCCTTACATAGTCTCAGGTCACCCTTGGGCAAGGTGTAGTATCTGTTTGCCTCCCGAACCAGGGTTACGATCTGATGAATCCTCATCTGTCAACTTTACCGGAATAGTGAAAACTACAGTGACAATACCTTGCTTACCAGGAGAACCGGAACCAGCTGTACATGCGTCGAAACATGGACTGTGATTTGGTGACTTCATCTCGGCAGATCACTTGAACAGTTTATTCATTCTGATTTGTGTTAAGTTTCAAACCATTTTCCAAAATATTTGAACGTCAGTGATCGTATGAACTTCGAAGTATGGACAGTAGAATCCGAACTTTCGACTACGCAGAATTGGCCAAGTCACATTTGTGGTCAAAATTATTTAGTGGTTCATAAGATTAAGTAGTTTGTTGTAGTTTAGAGCTTTACTAATAGTTCTGAGATATTGGAAACTAGAATTGTTATCGCCCTTTATCAGTGCGACTGGGGCCGGAATGTAGTTTCCAGAATCTCGCCCTTACATGTATATGTTAATTAATGTTTACAACTGTTACCCTTTAACCTTTAGCCCCACCATGAATAGTTTAACCTTGCCCGCACTTCATTTGCATGGAAAGCATGGTTGCGCACAGTATTATGGGGCGATTTTACGACCTTGATTCTAGCATTTTCTCCGTGGAGCTGATACCTATCTTTTACCGTACAAGTACAATTTGATATATATTGCCAAATTCCGTCCAAACTTGAAGGAGTTTTAAGCCGAAAAGGAGCCTAAAGATACCACCAGAGTTTTCTCACGCTTGTGAACATTTCAGTGCGATCCAGGTCGCTGTGATAACTGTGTGATTTTAAGAGGTTTCCGATCCGAACTTCGTGAACTTTTGTGCATGTTGTGAACGACTCTGTGAGTAACGATCCCTTTGTACTCCAATATTTGGTGGAATAAAGTGAACAGAATTCATTGATTATAGAACTATAGAAGTACGCGTAAAGAATATCAATTTTTTGACTTAGTGTCCACGGTCGCTACAGAACTTATGTTTAACTAACTTACATTGTTATAGATGTCCACAACTAAAAAACACCAAATTTCAATCTTACGGTTGAAATGGACACCGTTGACTTTCAGCAAGGGGATGGGAAATAATTTTACCGTGTGTTTTCCTTTTTGAAAAAACTCCTTTTTTTTAAAGTGCTGACCGTGAAGCCAGAAAAATTTTTTGTGGTAATTTGTAAGGGCTTAAAACAGGTTTATTCCTCTTCGGTAATGTTCGTGCTTACAGTGTTATTTGTTGTTGATCAAATAGACTCTATTAAGACATCATTGAGAGTGTTTATTCTGGTCCTCAAGTACTCCACTGCGCACACTGCATTGATGTCTATCAGGTTCTTGACCGCACTGCTTATTAGACTTGTGTCACCAGTCCATCCATTATCGTAAATTAGGGCCTATTCTCCAGAAGTTTTTGGGCGATATTACGGAAACAGAAAACGTTGGAAATCCGGAATCCGCATAAAATTCCACAGACGTTAGACTAAAAATCTGGAAATCCGGAAAAATCCAGAAAAATCACACCCCTGGTACAAATGCTATGGGCTGATGAAATGAAAAAGAAAAGTTAGAATAAAACAAAAAAAATCTGAACAAACACAAAGGCTGTTTCGGCCGGTTGCCGAAACAAAATATGAAAACGCGGTAACCAGTCTGTGCATAGCTATACACTAGCCAGAGTTGTAATGATTCGAGATAATGACTCGACTCGAGTCCGACTTGAGTCACAATTTCTGGCGACTCGACTCAACCCCCAACGGGTAAATGACTCGACTCGACTCGAGTCACTGCGAGCAAATGACTCAACTCGACTCGAGTCCCTTAAAAGAATGACTCGACTCGACTCAAGGAAGGCTAATAATTAGAATCGAGTCCCAACTGGTCAACTGGTCAGTCGGATTCGACATCGTAAAAATGCCAAGAAAACACCGATGGAGAAGGAACATTTTTGCCATTTTATTCACAGAACTTGATCTCTTTTGTCTGTGTATGTATTTTCCGTGTTCAAAAGTTCATTTTAAGATGGCAAGTATTTGAAGTGATACGATGCAGCGTGTTTCCCCAAAATTGTCCACACAAACTTAATCCCTGTTAAAATTGTTACCACCAGAGCTTTGGATTTTCTCCCGTAAGCTCTGCCAGAACAGCAACTCAAAACAAACAAAAATATCATGCAAACATTATTTTCATGTCGATATTGCAGCCATATTAGATTCCCACAATCACTGTACCTCGATGAAGTTGATCTTTTTGTTCAAAGCGAATTCTTGACAAGTCTCCGCATAGACTATTTTTTTTTTACTAGCAAAAAACCCCACATGTAACATGTATATTAAATACATTAAATTTATGTAAACAAAGCGTTTTAAGCCTGATTGCCATGACAACCATGTGTATCACTCGTAAAGTTATTTTCTTGACATTTGTGTAGCAACAGAACATATTTTTTTTTCTAGCAAAAACTCTTCTTTTAATGTTATAAAACCTTACATTTATGAAAACCAGTTTAAAAATCGGTTGCCAACATTTGTGAAGAAACTTTCTCTTTTTGTACCTGAATGATGAGGAAATACTAATTTTATAGTGTCAAATATTTGTGAAAACAGGCTGCAGTGAGTTCCATTGCCTTTAAAATCCATAAATTGCAACCTGCACTACAAGTCCAGTTATCGGGGAAATACATGTAGAGCTAGCATTTGAAATTCCAAGATGGCAGCCGAGAAAGTGGAAAAATGTAAATATCGGTTTGGGGGTTAGTTTAGCTAATACCCAAGAAATCCAAACGAAAGTTTAATTAAGAACAAGCACATTAAGAACCAGACTAAATGTGTAAAACAGATACATAGAAACAATATAACTGACCTTCTCTACCAGACATACTGCAACCTTGGTTGATCTTTATGTCACAGACGTGCAAAATGAAACAGATCCTACAGAGAGAAACAGATTGATTAATTGGTTAATTAACCTTATGGTTGTTTTCATTGGGGAAAATACAATGTACTAGTGAGGAGGGGGGGGGAATGTAAAGACCATTGTAATTTTCATAACACATCTGTAAATAAGGTAGGTTGTCTTTAATCCAACTGATTAAATTAACGCCCGTTAGAGGGGAAAGATAAAGAAAAAAAAATACCCCAAAAGCTCAAAGTAAGATCTGTGTGCATGCACTGGGTGCACTGGGTGCACTGGGTGCACTGGGTGCACTGGGTGCACTGGGTGCACTGGGTGCACTGGGTGCACTGGGTGCACTGGGTGCACTGGGTGCACTGGGTGCACTGGGTGCACTGGGTGCACTGGGTGCACTGGGTGCACTGGGTGCACTGGGTGTTGACCGGCCGGCAATAGCTTCGTTTTACGGCAGGAGATTTCGGTGAAACACGCTGCATCGTTTCACTTCATATACCAGTAGTACTTCCTCGAAATAAATTCATGAACACGGGAAATACATATATGGACAAGAGAGATCAAATATGGACAAGAGAGATCAAGTTCTGTGAATATAAGCTTGCAAAGATCGTCTTTCTCCATCGATGTTTTCTTGGCATTTTTTACGATGTCTATTCCATCCAGCCTACATGCAACATGGTCTTTTTAAGATGTATATTTTTTTTGGTAAAGTAATGCTACTCTGTATAATAAAATATAACTCCAGGTTATGGTAAAAGTATAGCTTGTGGTAAAACACATTTTGTTTAAATTGGATGGTACAGGTAACTATAGGAGTCCTCATTGAGGACCATTTGCATCCCCCAACCTACTACAGTAATAACTGGCTCAACTGTATCTTTGCAGTTTCAGCACATTCTTCATGCACATTGTGTTATAGCGCCCTCTGCAGTCAAAATGTAGACAGTCACCAATTTGGGAATTTTCATACCACCAGTCACCACACATGTCTGCAGCAGCGGGTTGGTTTCCAAATTACAAGTTCAGGCATAATGCTAGTAAGTGACATCTTTTTCTATTAATTATATAATTTTCAGATGTAAAACGTCAAATATGTCGCTTTTTGAAAAGAAAGGAAAGACAGAGTGTATCGAAGTCGTACTCTCAGGGTTGTATTTAGCCCCACTTGTGTGGCCTCCGAATTGCTGAGCTGTACGTTGGGCCACACGTCTGGTTTTCCAACCTACTGAGGAGTTTAGTCCAAACTCTGGCGCACCTTTTTTTGGCACTTTTTTTTTTACATACTTATCCCACTGAATATGGTTGTATTCTTTAATTTCTCATCTTTTGCCCTCTGGATAGATCAGGTAATGTTTCTTCAAATTTTTTGAGAAATTTAGACATCTTTCTGGAGCCCATATGCACCAAATTCGGACTATAAACTCCTCACTTGGTTGGCTTACCAGACGTGTGGCCTAACGTACAGCGCAGCAATACGGAGGCCCAGAAGTGGGGCTAAGCGTTGTTGGGCTATAGGGCAATTCCACGGTAACGGAAGGACGTTTTCACTCACTATACAAAATTTCAAATGTGTGTATCACATACCGGTACAGTGTTATAAGTTACATCAAACAAATGTCACCATTGTATTGCTGTGTAAATGCTACCTTCAATGAATGAATACCTCTCGTTCATGAATTATGAATATTAATGAGGTCGGTAACGGAAGGACGGTAAAAAGGACAAGGGTTTTCTAACTTACATGTGTTTTGCATAAACTCTGTGAATTTTATGGGGCCTTTATATTTTAAAGGTAGGAAATGAAATCCCTGAAGTTTTAACTACATGTATACTATGCCACCTTTCATTTGAATTTTAGTGTTTCGGTGATATAATTACAACATCTTAAGTGGATTGTAATTTGGTAACGGAAGGATGGTAACGGAAGGACAAAAGGTTTACTCAATTATAGCATGAACAAAATGTGAATTTACACTAATTATACAAGTGAAACAAATTGCTGAAATGTGTAACTGAATATGAAATCAACAATATGCAGACCTGGCATAATTATACCCAAGGAAGTATTGAGATAAAGATACATGTAGGTGCCTGCTAATTAATGCTAATATATGAAAAACGAAAACAACCAAAAAACACATTATTCACGAACACAAGACTGCTACAGAAATAGACTTCAAACCCATCACCTCAATCCTTAAAAGTTAAAATACACAGTATTTGAACACTTGGGTATATTGGTTACATGTTCA